GAAAATACTGAAAACCAAGAATCTGGAGAAAGCGTCAACTCGCAGGAATTCGAAGAGACACCGCCGAAAAAATAGCGTTTCACTAAACGTTCAACGGCGAGATGGAATAATGACCTGATATTACGTGTAATAGACGTACATTCCTCCAAGAAATCGATTACTAGTAACCAAGGTGCCGCCCTCTTTCGTCGTAAATTCATACTTCAACAAGTTTGTTTGTCTCACGCGAAGCCATGTTAGTGTTCACATTTTATGCGGAAAGAGCCTGGAACTAGCTGCTCGCGTGACTTTGCTCGCACGACTGCCGGTGAACTATCATCAACTATCACGAACTTTTTTGGCCATTTGACCATGCGAATGATAGTGATAGTTGATGATAGTTTGAAGAGAATCAACTATCATCGACTTTCATGCGCCGTTTGACCAAGGCTTAAGGTCCCTTTTAAGCAAACCACGACGGCGACGGCAACGAGAACATGGAAAAACAATAGATCTAATTGGCAGAACAATAGCCCAGCACGTGCGTTTTAAAACTTTGTACATTTCTTAGCCGTCCTTTGCAAAACAACAACGTGAGATCACCAAATTTGCGTCGTCTGCGAAGCGAAACCGCGGCGGCAAATTATTTTATATTTACGTTCAGTCGGAACTCAACGCTACTTGCATGCGTTATGTTGAGTTTGAGGTCTGGCGCCCTATGAGAAGGTAAACACATGCAGCCATTTTCGAACTTCTAACTTAAAGCAGAAACTCATTTTTTAATCAACGTCTTCCGTGGCGTTGCCGTCCTGACAGCGTAAAGTCCCTACACCAGTATGACACCAGGCGAAACCGCTTTCTGAGCTTGTCTCTTCAATTATGTTGTGTAAGACTACACAATCTATCCCATTCATAAACCGAAAGTGAAGTTTCAGTATATACTTCATGGAAGGCAGCCATAAATGTTGCATATCTATATTAGCCTTATACTTTATGTACGCCTAGGTGTAATGCAACCTAACACAGCTATGCACGGCTATACAGCTATACAGGACTATACACAGCTGCAGGGCTATACACAGCTATATAGGGCTACACGCAGCTATACACGGCTATACACAGCTATACAGGGCTAT